CACACACACACACACAGCCATGAAGCAATGAGACATGGCCCTGCTGGTAAATCTATTACTTGGGATATGGAGAAGTCAAATTCAATTCCATTCTCTGCCAGTCAGAGTGGTGATGGGGTCATACTAGTACCCTAGTTACCAGGCAATGAAGTAATTCTCACCGAATGCATATTTAAATACTTTTTACAAACCAAGTAGAGCAGAGATTTGCATCTGTCTCCCACATTCCATACGACTCCTCTGACCACTGGGAAACTTCCTCTTTGTAGCTGTATTGTGTGTAAGGAAGGACTGACTTAACTGTAGGAGGAAGTTCCCAGCTGTACCTTACAATCCCTAACTCTGTACAGCACGGTGCATGGGCCCATCCCTTCTCCTCAGTATTTCCTGTTTTTTGGTTTCTGTGAATGCCATTCTTTAGGGTCCAAATTACCCCCAGGCACTGTATACCGTAATCTGGGCACCTAATTTAGGACTGTGAGTTACATTAGCTGGCAAGATGCCTAACAATATTAGCCACTGCAGTGCCTTCAATTGCAACAGCAGTCATCCCCCAGTCCTCTGCAAATCCAGCACTCAGTAGCCTAAAGAAAAGAATGTTATAATAGGGTTCTTTCCTGTCTATACTACCCAGGGAAAGTACAGTAGCACCCTTCTAACAAGTCCCAACACTTAACAAGGCTTTTATTAAAAATGTTTCAGTGCAAGAATAGACAAGGTTTAATGGGAGAATAGAACTAACTGGAATAATAGGGAGAAAAGGAAAATGGAGGCTGGCAGACTTTGCCTCTGGTCCTGCCACTTAGCTACTGTGAAATTAACAGGTCTCTGCATGGGTATAGGGTGTACCTGGGCATAGGATACCTGCAATGATTGCAGTCACAGTCTTAGACAACAATGATTATTTCATAATTAATACTGATTTATATAACAACAAGGAGCAAACCTGAGGTACCAGTTGGCAGCGCTAATTGTTTCTATTTTACCTTGTAGAATATTTTCTTGCATCATACTAAATAAGGTTTTAGTTGGTAATATTAAATAAGTATTGTAGTGTACTGTAATACATAACCTATTGAAAATGGAAAGAAGAAAAAATGCAGCACAAGTAAAAGAAAGAAAACCTGTGAAATAAGTATAGCTATAAAAAGCAGAAAAACTTCTTGCCAAAGAACTCATAGTCTCTTATACAGATTTACTATTGTGTTTGATCCACCTCCTGATATTTCCCAGGGGGCTCTTGTCTAGCTTTGTCATTCTTTATTATGAAACTGACATAAGTCAGCTGGTTTATAGCCAGCTGCTCTAATAATAAACTGGCAATGAGATCAGAAATAAGTGGAATTATTTGGTCATCTTGAATCTGAAAATGTAAAATTATTCCAAAAAACCTGAAGAAAAAAAAGAAACAATCCTAAATGCCTTTTCTATAATAGTAGTTGTTTCTTAGCAGGAAAAACATGTGAAGTTCAAGTTGTTTAATTTGTTTAATGCGTATCTGGTCTCAGAGCCTCAGGAAGAGCTAGTAAAGGGAATCCTCCTTTTGTTTCTGACTCAAAGAGGGTGTGTCGACACATGTATATTCATGCAAACCAATAATCATATTGCACCAGAGTTTATTGCTATCACCTGATGAAGGGTGTGTGCACCCAAAAGCTTGCAAATAAAATAATTTGCTTGCAAATATCTAGTTGGTCTAATAAAAATATCCCCTCCTCCACAAGTTTTGATTCCTTTGTTCCCAGGTACCACATTTACACATACGCTCAGGACTACAGCATGTTAAGCTGGGTTTGAGCAGCCCTGGCTGGCAGGGGCCCCGGAAGGGGCAGCCTTCTTGCCCAGGGCTGCTCTGACCCAGCTCAATGTGCTGCAGAGGGGCTGGTTTGGGCACAAGGGTACTCCACTGTGAGACTAGCCAGCAGGCAGCCCCTGCACTGAAGCCCCCTCATGCCCCAGCCTGCTGCATCAGTATCTACATGTGTGGTGTTTCAGAGTAAAAAACTCTGTAGCAGTATGTTCAAGTACTACCCTGTTGCAGAGCTTATTAGTTTTCTGCCACCTCATAGGGCCTCAGGTGTAGATGCTGAGAGCTAATTAGTTTACTCCACAATAACCATCTCATGTAGATGCACCCAAATTCATCTAAATTAGTCCCTACTCTGTGCACCCAAAACTTGAAATGCATGGAAACAAGAAGTTAAAGGAAAAAGGCCCGCCCACTGCTTTTCACCTCCAGTTGCCTACAGCACAATAACACACTCGAATACTCCATAAGGTTTTCACTCTCAAGCAAAACCTTAACAGTGATCTCATTTGTTTGTATATGAATTGTGTTGACAGATCAGCACATCTGATTGTCACACATTTACTTGTCAAGTTATTCTGCTTTATTGCTGCTGAGGTCATGTCAAGGATTCACATGCTGAGTGCCAGTTTGACAAAGCTGAAATATATATTGTTTTGGGTAACTGCTGGAGATAGAAATTAAGTTTGTGAGCATGGGAGTGTTATTGACAATGTTGTAGGCAACACGAAAGTAGAAATAAATACACTATGCTTTCCTCTGGACTTATTTCCCTGTTTTTTGCTTTTGAGTGGGTAGGGCTTTTCCTGATGTAACCTGAATTGTCATTAAATGTAATTTTGTTAACAGTTTCCTGTGCAACTTTAGTGTTCCTCCTGGATTGTGGTGACATGCCTCAGTAAACTCTCTCTAACACATTTTACCCTATTTTAAAGTTATGAAAGGAGTCCTGCAAAAACAATTCACTGAGGAATACAAGTGATGACATACTTTGGCTGTTGAAAGAAGCCTCCATGAATTAATCTGTGTTACCACCCATTTCCTGAAACACACTGTATCGCATCATACGCATCTGGAAATTGGGAAGACATTAGAGCAATTGCAGCAGTTGGGTGTATCTGTAACACACCATCAGATCTGCCCATTGCTCTTCCTTTACCCTGCCGAAACCTCAAGTATGTCAGTGTAGCAAACCAACAAGGATGTTGGATGCCATCTTGGATAACATCAAATCTGAACCAATGACCTTCAAAGCTAAAGGCATGAGTCTTTTAGCTTGTATTGAAGAATCAGCCATTTCAGCTAAGTGCTAAAACATGCATTATCCTCAGAGGAATGAGTACAGAGGAGGATGCCTAAGACACAGGGATCAGTGGGTAATACAAACAAAACGTGTGACAAATAAGTGAAATGTATATATTAGTGACAAAAACTATAATGTACGGACTAGTTTTTAGAAAATCCTTCACTGTATCATACTCCATGTAGCTCAGCAGTAGCGTTTAAACTTTTAGCCCATTACATCACTAACAGACGCTAGAGCTGCAGGCTAAAAGCACATAATTAGCTCTATTGAAAATCAAGCAGTGGAGAAGACATATTCCCAGTTGGTTATACAATTATTCATCAGGATACTTGTAATAGGAACCCCAGATTCTACCCTTGCCCTGAAACAGGAGCATGACTTTAGTGGTCAAAGTAGGTTAGACCTTTTGAAAGGATCCATTGCCTACCACAATGGAAAAACTTAGGTATCTCTTTTTAGACAGCTGGGGACTAGGATCTAATATTTTTTTTTTCTCCAAATGTATTTAAAAAAGGGGCTAAGGGAAAGATTTCAGCAGCTCTTCCCTGTCTTTTAGGTCAGGGTTTACTGCCTTGTCAATAAGTAAAGGCAGTGAACAACATGGAAATTCAAACACCGTTTAGATGACCTGACGGGATGCGTTGGGTTAACTCCTTTCTCACAGTTCAGAGAATTTTCCCTATGAAGTAACTCGGTGAGGATTCTCTCTCTTGTTCTTGTACTTTTTTCCTCTCAGAATTAAGCAATGGCACCCATGCCACAACAGTTAAGTTGTCAATTTTAGCTTGGTGCACAAATTTTCCACAATCCAGAAAAGATTAATCAAGACGGATGCTTTAAAATGTTATTATTTTCAGGGCATCAATTAGTTTTTCATCAAGCCATGATGAAAAATTACAATGGTGGTCTGATTTTTTATTTAATGATTTTTATAGCATTTCAATTAGATTTTCCACCAAATATATATTTCAAGGTCCTGTTAAATTGAACTCTGTAATATAATATTAAGTATGGTGCAACTACCAATGCACCTTAATAAAAAGGAGGGGGAAGAATACCTAGTGGTTTGCTGAAAAAACAGAGCCCAACTGTTTGTGCTAGAATCCATGGTTGGTTGCCAACATCTTTTCAAGCACCCTTTCTCCAAGGATCTGAGCCAAAAAACATTAAAATAAATGGAAGCCTCCAATGAACTTCAGTGGGTCACAAACAAGTTAAGGGTCTAAGCCTCCAATACCAGAAGGTTTTGTTTAGTATACTCTTATGAGATTTTAAATTTCTCTGTTTTAAATAATTAAAATTAAATATTTTTCAGTGGACTGAAAGATTACTTGTTCCAAACACATGGCTATTCAGACAAGAATTAAAAGGGTTTGATGTAGCTGTGTGCCCGATTTAGGCACAGAGCTACATTATCAGATCCATTTTTATTATGAAGGTTATACTGTGAGACATAAGCAATATTAAAATATGCTGCCAACCCATTTCCTGCCTGCTTTGTACAAACATTTGGGATGAAATTAGAACCTTTAGTCATATGCTAAAGAAAACTGAGCGATGACCTCACAGTATCACCACAGAAGCTGGGTTTTTAACAAGTTTACCCACCTGTTAGAGTTTGGTTTAAGTTTGGCTCTAAAGGCAAAAGAAGGTATTCTAATCTGGTGGGGTTTATAGGAAAATCTAGTGTAGAAAGAACTGGGACAATCTAATAAACTTCCAGGAAAACAGGGAGCCCAAGGCACATACATTTTCCTTTGGTTCCACAGGAAGGTCAGATTAATAAAGCAGTTGGAAAGATCATTGGGGCATTTAGTTATTTCTCAGTGGTTCCTAAATTGTGGTCCTTGGACCTCTAGTGATCTGTCAGGCCACTGTAAGCAATCTGTTGATTGCACTGGACCCCCTATTTTCAATTAAAAGTTTGATAATAAAAGGCATGGAGGTCCATGAAAAATTCTGAGGGTTGACAATAATTTATTGGTACAATGGGAAACACTGATTTTTAACTAAAGACACAGAAGGAGAAAATATTGGTGGATGGGTACTGAGAAATTGGAATAATTGTTACTGGAGGTGTAACCAGGCAGCAATGCACTCCTGGAGGCTACAATGCTCAGGGCAGTGCCAGCTACCAAGGCGCTGATTTTTCAATGGCACAATCAGTATCACTGTGGTCATGGCTATTTTTGTGCCCTCCCAGCCACAGAGGCAGCACCCAGGGCTGCTGCCCTGGTCACTCCCACTTGGTAATGCTACTGCTTGTTACTAGATAGAATTAATTTTTACCTGCTCCTATTTTCATGCTGTCACAGATGCTTACCCAATAGCTTGACTGTTTAGAAATTTTAAGAAAAATAACTTTTTCTTCCCTTTTCATTTTGAAACTAATTTTGTGAGGTGATGATTGATCAGAATGGTGACTGGCCTTTGATTTTGGGGCCCCTTGCCTCAAATGTAATAAAAGGAAAAGGAAAGGAGAAAACACTTGAAGTGTCATACCTTTTTATGATGTCACCAAATCCCTGTAAATTATTCAAGTCACCATATTCACTCGCATACCTCATGCACCTTTTCCCCCTAGAATTACTGCTCCAAAGCTGGGATGCATGTCTTAAGTGGGGAATCTGATGTTCTCCCTGGAATAGAAACATGGGGTTGCTGTAAAATGGCTGCTCCTTCTTTTCCTTCTCTCCCCACCACGGCCACCTAGAGCAAAGTCAAGTCTTCAGCACAGCTAGTATTAATCCCTTCACGGGATGAATTGAAGCAAAGACAGGGCTTAATCTTCAACTAATTCAGGTGTAAAAGGGTTAAAAGTAGGAAAGAGAGGACAAGTGAACCAAAGTCCTTGCTTCATGTGGCCATAACTCTGGAAAGAATCTTTGTTCATTCTGCCTTTCCAAAAACAAGGGGTATCTTACCATGTCTTATTTGGGGAGCATGTGGTATATGAGAAAATACAGGTATGAGCATTAGTTCCAGCTGGAAGGTTCCTTGACAAGCTCTGAGGGCATAAGGGCATTGTTTACTGATGACTTTGGCCAAACGTGTCTTCGCTCTTGTGAAGCTTGGCGGTCACCCTCATTTCTATCTATTTCAAAAACAGATGAGAACTTAAAGCAGTGCTGAACCTGAAAATCCTTACTCATGCACGTTTTCCCCTTGGACTCTAGAGGGATTACTCATTCAAACACAGGTTGGCAAGATCCAACCCATGGTTTATAAAGTACTTGGAGCTCTTTCAGGAGGAAAGGTGCTGCATAAATATGAGCAGCAATTGGCTAGATTTTCATCTCTAGCTAAGGAGCGCACAGAACAGCATGATGAAAATGTGTACTTACCAGTTTCTCTGTCATTTGCTAGTCTAGTCCCTGGCTCTGACAACAGAAAATCCCTCTGAGCTCACATGGAGAATTCCCATGGGGCCAGCTGCACCAGCTTTCTATCCAGAAACAGCCTGCAAGGGGCACAGAAGAGAATCTGGGTTATTATTATTGGACCTGACAACAGTTGAATATTTCCCCAAATATCATAAACATGTTTTAATCTCCTTTCTCCCCCCCCGCAAAAAATAAAACGAACCCCCAAACCCAAACCTTTAAGTGTAGCCTATAATTTGAATCCCCTGTGTTAATTCTGTAATTTAGCCTTATTTCATACTGAGAACCCAAACCAGCTGTGCACTGGGACAATGTTTCTATTTTGAGGGGCATTTAGTAACTGGGACTCAAAGCAAAGGCATTTCTCCACCCCTCATATTGTGGCTGAATGACTCTGTTGTGCTGATTTGAAATGACCTGACTAATCTCCATTTCCTCTACCAGTTTAACTAAATGTCAAACGATCATGGGCTTGAAAAAAGACCATTGAAATGAAGATAAAAAGAAACACATGGGACAGCAGTTTTTAAATGTTCTTTGGGGCTATTGGGCACAATTCAACGTGCTTTAGTCAAGCTGTTGTATAAATGCAGGAAGGAGTGATTGAAAAGTGTTTCAGACAGAGCTGCACTTTTTATCTGGAGTGACCGGGGTAATCTATGTCTACATTTCAAAATGAGAGATATAGGCAAATCCACAACTAAATGAACTTTAACAAAACCACAAATAGTTAAGTGTTTTGAAATGCAAACTGTAGGACAACTGTTATGGACTCCATGTGTCATCATCATGAACCAAACCACAAGGTGTGAATGGTGGAGAGGGTCTAGCCAAATGCTTTCTGATCAAGCCTCAGAGGGGAGGGGAGCCAGGTGTCCAAGGGGAGTGGTCGCTCCTTAAGGAAACGATCCTCCAAGCCCAGAGGAAGGTAATCCCCAGGAGGGTCAAAGGGGGCAGGAGAGCATATAAGCCTCCATGGCTCACTAAAAACATCCGGGAATGTCTCCTTGCCAAAAA